AATATGAGTAATATAATAGTAACATAATAGCAAAATAATAGAACAGTTCTATTATTTTGCTATTATGTTACTATTATATTATTTATATTGACAAATCTCCTGTTATTTTACTATTATTCTGCTATTATGCTGCTATTATACTGCCATTATTTGGTGGATATAAGGTAGAATAATGGCAGTTTTTTTTTCTGTTATTTACCTATTATTTACCTTTTATTCATTTATTCAATCTGTGAAAGTTTCTAGAAACAGACTTTTATCACCTAGAATCTTCAATGCAGATTTCTTTATGGTTTTGGTAATGCATTGCTTCCTAGATTGGGTTAGAAACTCTTTAATATAGTCAGAAGGTCCATTATCTCAGTTTGTTTTTGCAAAAGCATTGGCTACAATGTAGCTGATGACCACACTGGCATGACTCTATTACTACTTTGGCTTTGAACTGATTTTAATACTCAATTACTCTTTGAATTAAACTCAGTAGAGGACATATATAATTGTTTTCATAATTCCATTTTTAGATGAAACAAGCTGTTGCTTTGATTTTGAACAAAAGAATCGACTGTTGAAATGTTAGACCTTTCTTGTTCAGTAACTTGCAGTCCAGTCTACTGTGAATGGCCCCCACATCACATTTATTTTGGTATATATCTACTTCCCAATTAGAGTTATCAAAAAATCATATTAATTCATTCGCTAGGTTTAATCGTGATGGTATTCACTAAAATTTGTGAATTTTTACATCATGTTCATCACAAAAATCCCACATTTGTCACATTATCTCCTTTTGCCACAGATGTTTTTCTTCAGATTCTATTGTTTTTCGAGCAACTCAATTGTCTATAATTATTGTGACTCAGCAGTATATAATGATATGAATGAAGGACTTGAGGCCCAATAGTGCTGACATTGATTTGAGATGAGTGATATCCTTATGAGCATAGTAATACTTCCAATTTCCAAAACTTTTATCTTGTCTAATGTTGCTGACCAACCTGTTGTAGCTGCATCTATGTAAATTAGAATTATCCAAGAAGGTTTTACATGAGGTGACTATTTTTTACTCTTATATTTATTTGCATCTATTTTATATCTGCTATAGCTTGTTGTGTTAATTGCATTGATTTGTTTTACTTTTTGGTTTTTGGTTTTCTGCATCGATGATCATGTAAAGTTTTATACAGTAAGTTTTTGCATATGCAAAGGCTCAGTTCAAGCTTATTATTTGCTCTATTACTGATGATAGACATTATAATATTAGTGGATTCATTGATAAAAGGCTTTTAAAGTTTGTTAGAATTGTTTTTATTTTTGATTCTGAAGTGCTACCTGTCCTGTTATTGTATTTAGAACCAACCTATAAAACTTTAGTTCTTGTGTCAGCTCTGGGTGTTCTTTTTTTACTAGAATAAATTAATAATTTTTTAAATTTCAAAATATTATTGTATTTCTTATTTGAATTAATGTTTTTCAGCATGGGTAGGCAACCCATATATTGTCAAGGTGGTTGTCACAAAAATTTCTAATGCCCTCTAATGGCCTACTAACAATCTTATTATCTTTGCAAAAGTCCATACTGCCAGAATCAGGCCAAATAGTAAAACCTGGTAGTGATACCAATTTTAACCTACTTTGAACCTCAATAATCTTTGTGCTTCTAATCCATCAAGACATAATAATAGCCTTCTTTTAGATTCAAAACTATTACTCACCAGTTTTTTACTGTTATCCTTAAAAATGTTTCAATCCTTCAAACCTGAAGGATTTTTCTGGTAATATCTTGTTTAGACATTAGAGATCAATAATAAAATACTATTTCTTTGGGCCCAGTTTGTGAATCAAAAATATTGGGCTTATTTCGAGTAGGTGTGATGGTCTGTTTAGTGAATTTGAGATTCAGACTATTGCTTCTATTCTTAATAATCTTTGTATTTCTGCATCTAACTAAATTATTTGATCTCTTGTTAGTGTATATTGTGGTGGGTTTGGTAATTATATTAAAGCCAATAACCCTTTTAAATATAATAAAATGCCACTTCTTAACTAGCTTAGAACTAATTTCAGTGCTTTAATATTTTGTTTCCAATAATTTAGATGCTCTTATCAGTGCAATCACCCTACTACTAGTATTCTTTGTTGGGTTCAAGTATAATCACTCGTATTTGTTATCATTATAGAGTCTGGAATACCTGTTTCTGTAGGTTGTATAACCTTTTGATTAGTAACTAAAGTTTTGATCTTGTTGTTGGTTAGTATTTTTGTAGAGTTTGAGGGACATGTATTAGTGAAATGTCCTAATCCTCTACTGATATAACATTTATTTGATTTGTCTGACATCTCATAGTGGAGTTAGTAGCTGGTATGAAAAAACTGTTCTTGATTATACAGAAAGCTTTGGCAAACATTTTGATACCCTATTGGCAAGTTATTTGAGAATTGGTTCTAATTGCTACTTTTTCTGTAAGAGTTATCAGAAGTTTCTAAAAGAATTGCTGTTTTCTTTTATTTATTTTTTTTTGCATCTACCAAGGTCTTTGCTTTTTCTATTACAGATTTCTTTTCTTTTAGCAGCTTATCCTGCATGCTCAGCAAGGCTGTCACAACATCCTATCCAAATCCCTCTGTGATATGTAAAGTAAACATTTTATTTACAGCTATTTCTTTGGTGTTGGAGATGTGACTTGTAATTTCTGTAATGACTTTTAATTCCAATATCAAGTCTAGTTCTTTTCCTATTGAACATAATATGTCATATTCATATTGAATTTATAATTCAGTCATGCTTCATTATTATTAGTTCTTTGTACTTGAGCAGCTATTTTGTTTAGTTTATTGTCAAATCTTGTCATAACGTCTCTCATACTTCTTAGTTCTAATACCAATAGGTATTTGAAGGAATCTACATGATCTTCATTAGTGTCTTCAGGTAATTGTCATTTATTTTTTTCTTTTGATTGTGTAGCTTTTTGGTTATTTGTTCCTTGCATTCAATCTGGTTCTATAATTAATGGTTCCATTATATTATTAAATCTGGATTTCAAGGCCCTTTCTCTTAAGGTCCAAATTGAGCTACTTCCATTTTCAAATCCTGGGTCAGTTACTTATCTATCCATTTCATCTATATTCTTGCTTTCATTGTTGTCAATATACCCCTCCTTGAC